GCGCCTCGTCGGAGGGAACGCGGTCGGAGACGCCTCGGCGCCTGGGGAATCAAGCCAGGTAAACCCTCCGGAGCCATTATCTGCTTACCAGCGGAAGGAGCCGGTGGCTGAAAGATAATTTTGCCCTCTCCCCGGCTCCTGCCGCGGCAGGAAGCCAGCCCTGGCCGGTGGCAGGCGGGCAAGCTGGTCTTCAAGGCGGGTGTCCCCCACACTGTGGGGTGCACAAAGCATCTGAGCTCTGCTCTGTGCCGGGCCAGATCCACCTGCCACTCCCTTAGGGACATATTATCAATATTATCCCCTTGCCTCCAAATGGATGTGGCCGGGAGCAGGCTCAGAGCCGTGGCGCTGGAGATGCAAGTCACCTCGCTCACCTGTGCAGAAGGTAAAAAGAAGCTCGGGCCAAGCCCCAGGTATTTAATTCATCATCGGCCAAAATATCCTGTTTCATCTGGAAAGCGGATAATATTTCCTGTCCCTTTGAAAGTCTGTTTTGAAATGAAGCAAACCAAAATGTTACAGATCCCTTTGTTTCCCTTCTTACTTCACTGCACCCCAAGTTATTTCCTGATTTTGTCCTGAATTTGGGCATAAGATTCTTTCAAGTTTATTCTTCCCCATAAAACTTTGCCCAGCTCAGCTTGTGTTGGTACAGACAGATTTGTAAGAGGCATGAAAGCTGCTGCCTGGGCTGGTGGGGTCTTTTCCGGACCTGTAGATCCTGCCTGAGATCACAGCTTCCTGGAAAAGGACAAGGCACTTACTTTTGTGTATGTTTCCTGGTGCATTATTTGGGCTATTTCAGTTGGTGAGATAGATAATACTAACTCTTAAAATACCAGCTGACCAGTGCACACGCTGAGAGCTATTGCAGTGACAGAGCAAGGAAAAATCCCTGCAAGCCATGCATGGTGACCCTCCTGCCCCAGCTGTCTGCTGGTGACTCCTCCGCAAATGAAATGTGAAAGTGAGAAAAAAACACAAAACCTTTCAAAGTGCCCTGTGTGAACTTAAACCAGCCTGCAAACGAGCCCCCTTTCTAACACACATAGATGGAGAAATCAACCTGTGGGTTTGGCTTTAAATGTTGATTGGTTGACAGGGTTGTCTCTTAAGTCGGCAAGGTAAACTGAAAGCTTGCAAAACAGGAAAATGGAGAGCGAAGTGCTGGGCTGAGCCAGCCAGCTGAACTCAGTGAGACCCTCTGCTTAGAGCACCGAACACAGCGAGCAGAGCTTGGGTGCAGCTTGATGCTGCAGCAGAACACGTTTGGAAAGCCATCAGAAATACTTTCTGTTGGTTGCAGTGGTGCAGCAGGCAGGGAAGGTCTGGGTGTGGGACATTCCTCCTACATGAGCACTCTGTGAGAGGCACTGCCACCCACTCCTGTGCCATCCCACCACTGCTGCTTTCACAAAAGCCCTGCTGGGACTTAATGCAGGATCTTCACACAAAACTGCGAAATTAACTGCGTGCTTACGGGCAGCAAAACAGCTGGACCAGAGCTTTGGTGTTTTGTGCTTTGGTGTGGTTTTGGTTTTAGCAAAAGGGTGGTTAAAAAAAGTGTGGCTACAGGAAACTCATGATGTCTCTATGGTGACAGTAATATTTATGCATCTGTCAGAGCTGCCACAAAGAACACCCCTGAAATCAAAACCACCTTCCTGACAAGAAATTTGGGCTGGCCACAAACCCACATCCCCTTTGGGGTCCTCTTTTTCACTAAAGGGCCCATGCCCCTTTCATGAAGGCAAGCTTCAATTTCCTAGCTGTTCGTAAACCAAGCTGTGCAGTCAAATTGTCTCCCACATGTTTTGAGGGGGAGGAGAATACAATCACACAAGTGAATCACAAACACTGGAAAAGCAGAAAATGCAGAAGTAAGGTGATGGCTCCCACCCAGGGTGTGTATCTTATCACTGACCATGGTGAAGAGCTGATGGTGTTTTATTTTGGAATGTAAGAGGATGCAGGCTCAGGGAAATAATTCTGGGGACCTTCTTTATGCTAGCAACCTTCCTGAGTGCTTGGTCTGAGGTGCTGGGAGGAGATTGGGTTTTCCTCATCCTTGCCACGAGGCAGGTGGGATGGAGACCTGAGGGTGGCAGGAGCTGTTCCTCCCAGCCCAGGTGGCCCTTGTGTGGTGAAGGCCTGACAGGGTATGAGTAGAGATCCTAGTTTTGGAGTAAGGCACACAGAAAACCATCCAAACAAACTTCTTGGGTGTAGTGGCACGTTGGGATATATTCCCACTCCTAACACCTAGGGGTGAAGGAACTAGGGGTGCAGGAGATGCATGCTCTGTAGAGGGAGGTTTCTCTGCTGAAGAAAGCTTCTCTACTTCTGAAACGGTTGTTTCGAGAAAAGATACTCCTCTCTTTCCAAACCCTCCCTCATTTAATCTCCCCTTGTTGGTAATACAGGTCACATAAAGTCACATTTTATCACAGGACACAAAGCAGCAGCTCATTGCTGAGTTTCTCTATGTGTTCTGTCCTTCAGCTTCTTCTCAAATGTGCAGTGACCGCTGGTGGCTTTCTGCCTTAGGACCCAGGAGAGAATGCTCCAATGGAGAGGTTCCAGAAATTCATTTTACTTCCTCTCATCCTAACTGCCTCACTACCAGGTAGGACATATTCATAACCCATGAAATGAGCCACCGTGGACAAAATGCGTGAACTAATTTTAAGGCTGTATAAATGGCTCTTACTGGCGATATCAGATTGAACAGTGAGTCCCAGAGAGGGATTATTTAAACTGTTTGAAATAGTTAAGTTTGCATTTCAAGCCTGAATGATCCGATGGCTTAGATTGGCTTTTGGTATGCAGATGTGAGCAGTGGATGGGGTGGGCAGGAGTCTGGGGAGCTGCCCTCTCTCACTTCTAGTGAGCAGGGATGTCCCATATATTTCTCTCTTTCCTTGTGTTCATCTTCCTCCTGTCTGTTTGGGGCTGCTTTTGAGAAGGCACTTGTAGAGAACTTGGTATCAGCAGGTGATATTGCTTCCAGAAATATGCACAAATTATCATTTTGCTAGTTTGCCTCCAATTTACATTTCACATGCCTGAGTTTCAAAGTGAATTCAGATAAAAGGTGTCTTGGTGGCAGAGCTTTAAGGAAAATGTGAATATAAAATGACTAGTTGGGTAACAGAGACAAAGCTTATTTTTATTATTATTGTTATAGTCTAGCTTGGATTTTAACAGGCTTTGAAAGGAAGGAGCTGCAGTGGGATGAGAGAGAAGGTATTGTCATGGCTTAATAATTGGTGAAAGGGAACACAGTGCAGGAATAAACACTGAATTTTCTGGGCAGAGTGATGTTCCCAGTGGAGCTGCATGGGGGATGTGTGGTATTGAACAAACTCTTAAACAACCTAGTGAAGAGGAGCGAACTGTGAGGTGACAGACTTTGCAGGAGGCACAGAATTACTTAGGGCAGCCAAATCCAAAAAGAAACTAGGAAGACTTGCCAAAAAATGCCATGGTGCCAAGTGAGTAAGTAATAAAGGAGCAGAAAACATTCAATGCAAAGCATCACTTAACTGCAGATGTATAATGGGGGAAAAGAGAAGATATCTTGGAAAGAGAGTAAATTGCTGTAAGAGCGAGGAAATTCACCACTTAAGTGTCTTCAGCAAGGGAAGTGTGATGAAGGCTGGCATTGTAGAAATCCACAGAAAGCTTCTCTCTTGAATACTGGATGTTTTGTTAGTCCTTCCATTTCCAAAAAGGGCATATTAAGTCTGAGGGAGGCATAAAGTGTGACAGATCAAAAGTATGAGTGGGCCTTCATTAGACCAGGATATTTTTCTGCTTGTGAAAAAGAAGAAATAGTAAAAATTATTAAAATAATTAATTACACAGAGGTGAACAGTTAAATGGCTATGCAGAATTTTCCCATAACAAAAAAGGACTAGTGGCAACCAGTAAAACTATCAGAAGATTTAAGGCAAACCAAAGAATGTACTTTTCCTCACAGTACATAATTAAGTAGTAAAACTCAGAGTTACTGGGTGCGTGAGCTACCAAATTATAAACAGGCTGCAAAAACCCAGAAACAGGTATCATGGAAGGTAGATCCATAGGTGCAGATACAATTGTTGTCTAAGGAAGTCCCTAAGTCTGTTATTTTTGGACACTGAGAAGTTATAACAAGGAAGCCTCAATATTTATTTGTTCTGTTCCTTATGCTGTCTTCCTAAGCATCCAGAACAGATTATTGTGTTTTAGAGGATTTCTGTTACCCTTCACTAGTGCTTGCAGTCCAGCACACCTGCAAAGGGTGGACCACTGCCCCACCTGCAAGCCATCCTGGGGTAGCAGACGTTGCCCACACTGTGCAGCCATGGGACCACCCCCCAAAGCAGAGAGCAAAAGTGTGTTCCAGAGGAACACGGGTTACACTTGAAGGAAGTGTCGCTGCTCTCGGGGTGTGGGGTGTCACGAGGCCTTGTGAGGTGACTGGGCTGCTGAGATGGCTGCAAGGCACGGTGGGGTTGGGTGTTCATGTGCCTGTCTGCAGCGACACACTGAGTGAGAGCAGAGCTGGGAAGACACACGTCAGGGCTGTGGAGAGGTTTGTGGGCAGGTGGGTGGAAATATGTGTTGCTGAGTGCCAGTAGACTGATATTGCTTGACAGAAACACCCTATAAGCATTTAAAAAGTCTTGTTAACATAAGCAAACAAGCTAGTTGTTCTCTGCAGGCTTTGACAAGCTCTAACCTATTTCGGTTTTCAAAAAGCTCAGCTGCATGGCTGTTGGTTTTTGAACTAATCCTGAGATGTGCTAAAGAAAAACCTTGCCAAATCCAAAACAGTCAATGCAGAGCTGCTGCTCTAGCGGTGGGTCAGCGATGAGGCAGGAAAGGCGGGAGACAAGGTGGGTTGAGAAGAGACTAAAGAGTGAAAAGAAAAAGGAAGATAAAACAGACTGGAAGGGGGAAAAAAACCCCAAACAAACAAACATAGAAATTTCCAACAGAAATAGCAGGGAAGAGAGGGAGGAAGAAAGAGACTAGGCACAAAACCGGAAGGATAAAGGGCAATGTTTATGGAAGGGCAATATGGGCGTAGAGGGGGAGATTACTTTGAAATATGATAATGAGGGTGAAAAAAAAGAAATCGTTATGGCAAAAGGATAAGCCCATCCTGTCCTTCACCACACTGCGTCCAAATAGGTCACTTATAAAAGAGGAAAGACAGAGTCAGCAGAGGAGAAGAGGGAAGGCCAAGAAGGTTGCCACATCTCAGTGCCCTTGTTACTGAAAGCTTCAGCATGAAAAAGTGGTCCTGTAGAGCTAGCTCAAGCACAGAAGAAAAACCATTGGTGATGAAGGGCAAAGGCAGTTCTTTGGCAAGTGGTGTTCCCTCCAGGGAATGAGAGGGATTTGTGTTTCTTCAAAACCCACAGTGAAGTGACAGTGAATTTGAGTGACAGACGAAGCAATAAACAGCTCATAAAGAAGTTAGTGTATACACTGCATGATGTTGGGAAGAACTGAGCAACTGAAACATCATAAATCCTTATCAGTTTAAGCAAACTTTTACCACTAGTGACTGCTTTATAAACTTTTAGTGATATGCCTCAGAGAAGGTGTCCTAACTCAGCCTTGTTTTTCATAAATTGAGAGGTAATGCAATGTCATGGAGAAAGCCTAACATTTCCCTGTTGCAAAGATGGGATTTGCCTGGGTGGGATTTCTTACTGATTTTGTGTGGGGAAGCCGATGATAAATGAGCTGTTGAGAGCTGAACACATAATTCCTGTAAAGTGCAATGGCGGTCTAGCCTGGGGCCTTAATTTCTCTAAAAGCAGCCACCTGCAAGATATTTTTTAAGCAGTATGTAAACAAACTTAGCACTAGCATTTTCTCCTTAGTGCAAGAAGTGAGGTCCAGCAAAAGGATTTATAGCACTGACTTAAGGCAGTGGTAACTGGGTTAGATCCCATTTCTGTCATCAGTGTCCTCTTTGACCTTACACAAGTAACTTTATCAGTGTTTGTATGTGGATTGAATGGTGGAACACATTGTTGGTTTAGGACTCCACGTGCTACTGTAGGATAAAAACTGAAAGCAAAAAGATAAAGAGGCAAGGTTAAAACCATCAAAAATGTTTTGGCAGCAGACTGAGCAGGCTCATGAAGCTCCTTTTTCAGGTGTGCTGGGGCTTTAGTGAGGTGTAGATGGAGGCAAGGTTGAGCTGTGTCCCACTCTTCATTCCTCCTGCCACCCACAGAATCCATGCACAGGGCTTGTGTTCCTGTTCCCTATCTCACAGAAGTCAGTGAAAGACCATCTATTGCTCCAGCAGGTGTGGTTGGAGGGAGAAGGTGTGGATCTTATCATACTTATGGACCAATACATTATTACTATTCCATTAATGAAGGAATTAACTCATACCTACCTGCCTATACTTTCCTGACTGTTTGAAGAAAACAGAAGCAATATTAGCCCTGTATTTGTAGAGCTGGTGATCACTGATTATTCATGTTTAGGGATAAATTTCAAGACTATAATAATGGAACTCACAGACATGATCTCATAGCACATGATTAATTAACAGATAACAGTGAACTAAATGTCGCATCCTTTATTCAGAGCTGTGGCAAACCACGGCTCCTTGAAAAAGCAAAGTGTTTGCACAGACATGGAAATAAATTACAAACGCACAGAGATCAGTTTGCACTAAGAGGAGCTGTGTGGTTAAGTACTGCAGCTCCTGTTTCATGAGCAACTAAATGCATTTTAGTGTTAACTCTCTGGAATTTTTTTCATGACTGTGTCGATCATCATAGTAGCTGTTTATGTCCACTTCAAACAGTCAGGAAGACTTCAAATGAAGGGTAAAAATCAAAATACTTAGCTCATGAACGTGCTGTAGACACCAGAGATGTACAGGGAGTAGTATTGTAAGGTCTGGCTACAGTAAGAGTCAGGAAAAAAACAGATAATTCAAAGACACGTTTAAGCCTAGGATGGTGTCTCAACCTTGGTAATTTCAGTTGTGAATAGAAATCATGAGAACTGGATGTTGAATATCAGGGAAGAGGAGCATATTATGGGACAACCCGTCGCACTGGAATGCACTTCATCAGTGCGCATTCATTAGAAAACCTGTAGCTCTGTACGTGGTACCACTCAAAGACATGTGACCAATCCCTAACATTCGGAAAGTGACAAGTAGAAAAGAGGGGAAATGGCTTTTATGCATTTTGCTGGATTAACTGCTTGTAAAGCAACATACTGAGGTATGCCCAAAGATGTGATTGGTGAGTTCATCTTCAAGCTGTTTCATGTTCTGAAGCATTTCACTTCACCTTTGCAAGTCTGAGGAAAGCTTTGGATAAATGCTACTGGAAAAAAAAATGAAATGAACAGAAATATGTTTTACTGTATCTTATCTGGCTTTATCAACTAGCAGTGGAAGTGAAGTTTGCTTTTCATTTAAAGTTTTATTGCTCACACACAGATATACTTTGGAGAATGAGGTGCAAAGCAGAGGTAACATAACCCGGGAAGGTGGAAAATTTTTATAAAGGTTTGTGTAAACATGAGAGAACTCAGAGTCAGTAGTACAAAGAAGCAGGGAGAGCTAAGTTTGTATAGTCCTGCAAAGCAAAGAATGGAAAGGCTCTTGTCTGTAAATACATGCGGTGGGTGGGAGTAAAGAGAGGAACTATTTATGTTAAGAAACAATTCTTGGCACAAACCTGTTTAGATATACCCTGCCTAGGATTAAATGTGAGCTGGGAATTAGAAAGTAATGTTGACATTGGAGCAATGAGATTACTGAAGCTATGCCCTAGGTGCATTCACCAAGACTCTGGCTGCAACGTTGTAGCTGAGATTGAGCTCTGGTTCCATTTATACAGCTATCAAACATCTCTTTTGTGTGAAACAACACAGCATATTCTCTCTACTCACGTCAGCTATTGACTGAATTGAAAAACGAACCTTTCAACGATTTATAATTAATCCATTAATGACTGAACTACCTAAAATGTACAAAACCTGGTTTGAATGAAACCTTTAAAAATCAATTCATTGTTCTGAATACACTTAGCAAGGGAATAATGGCCATTTCAGACTTTCTTTCTCCTAGAAAATAATTGAACACTTATGCTCAGGCCAAATTTACAGACACAGGGTTTTAATTAGACTGCTATGGACTGTAGTGTCTAATTGCTGTAATTACGCAGGCTACAGCCTGGATCGTTAGGAGTAGCACTGGCAGTCCTGGTGCTTCCTCAGCATGAATGTTTCCCAATAAGTGATGAAGAACTCACTTGTGAGGTAGATCTTGCTGGCAGGTTTGCTTGATCTGCAGGCAGCATGTGAAGTCGCCATCCCTGGAGATACACAAAATCTGATTTGAGTTTATGAGAGTGTGCCGTTTTGAGGTCTCTGATAGAGAAAGGCAAGATATAGACTTCTCTCCCAAGTCCTGTTCCCTAAGGTACCAACCAAATAATCTGAGATGTTCTTACACTGTGAAGGTTTGTCCCTCATGAAGACGAGGTTTGCCTGCCTTCAAAATGGCACCATTTCCCCTGGCTATTTTAGGGACTGATGTCACAGCCTCTGCTTTGAAAAGAGGGTCTCTGCCTTCATCCTTCCTTCACTTTCTGTTTGGTAGAAGCGAGTGCTTCTGCCTTGCCATGTGCAGGGGATCCACCATCCGCCTGGCCAACAGCTGCACCCTCAGTCCTCTGAGGGCAGTGGGAGGCCCTGGGTCTGCTGAGGAGGAAAGGAAGACAACATGCTGTTTTCAGAAAGGAGCTTTCAGTTCTAAAAAATGGGAGCCAAAATTCATGCTACCTTTTAAGGAAGCAGAACTCGTGAGTCACAGCAACTCTGATTATCAGGAAGCCTGAGAAGGTGGGGAAGCATGTGCCTGATGCATGCTTGGGAAACAGGGGGAGTGGCCAGTGAATAAAGGAACGAGCAAAGAGGGATCTGTGCTGAGGCTGCCGAAAACCATTGGCAGTCTGAAGTATGGAAAAGGGACCACTTACATACTCCTTTGTTTAAAGTCTTAATGTATTTTCCTGTTTAAAAGTGGAACTCTTTTCTTTCAGCAGAATGGTAAGTCAGCTTTTTAGTGAATCACTGGAGAGACAAATGTGATTTTGGAATGGGAGGAGAAGGGACAAAAATGCAATTCAAATGCATCTTTAAAGAAAACCGTTAAATCTAAACTGGAGCTGAAAGATTAGATTGTACATCTCCATCTCTGAACTGGTTACGATCTTTTAAACTCTATAAATATGTACTTGGGTTTTTAATGTTTAACTTGTGGATCCATTATAACAGCATAGCAGTGGACCACTGCTAACTGCTGTGGGTTTAATGTTACTCAGTTGCAGTTTCAACTCACCATACATATCTTGAACTACTTACTGGCAAGCACTGTAGAAAATGAGACAAGAACCTTTTCCTAAAAGCATTGGGTACTGACAACTGTCAGAGATGACGTGCCAGGTTAGCTCAATCAACAGCCTTTCCTGATACATGACAAAGTGCTTAATACCCCAATGCTCGTAGTGAATGATACAATTTGAAACAGGGCTCCTGACTTTTTAGCCTCAAATTGCTGGCAGTAAATATTAAGCCAAAGGCCTTTAGTGGTGGTGTTGCATATGTATTTACAGACTGGTTTTTTTCTTCCTTCCAGGTCTTGGCTTTTGCTACACTCTTATAAGAGGCCCTACTAATGCAACAGTCCTTGCTGGTTCAGAAGCCCGGTTTAATTGCACTCTGTCACTAGGATGGGTAATTCTCATTTGGCTGTCCAATGGAAATCCTGTCCTCACTGTCACCAGTTCTCAAGGAGCTATTGAAACATCAGACCGCTTCACCTCTCAAAATTATACCAGTGGCAGTGAGTTTACCTCAGAGCTGATCATCCACAATACCCAGCTGAATGACTCTGGAAAAATTGAATGTAGCATACAGCAATCTAGTCAGAACAACTTTGCATTTCTTTCTGTTCAAGGTGCGTATAGCCACCGATAAAAAGCAATTTTATCACACTGCACTTAAAGGAATCCTCTGATGAATTGCTCAAATTGTCCCTGTGAAGGAGTACATGCTCTCATTTCCCATCCTTTGCCTCCTGTCCTTGTCTTAATTTTACTGTCAAAGTAGGCTTCAGAGTCACATTCAAAGCATTGTTAACAAAGGTTATAAATGCCTTTTTTTTTTTTTTTTTTCTTCTGTTAAATTGCTTGTTCCTTATTGGATTGTATTAAAGTGCCTGAAGGCTGTATCAGGCCCACCAGTCAGGAATTATTTCTTGGCTAGAAATGGTATGGATTACCCCTACACACATCTTTGTACGTGAAATGTTTGCTGTCTTCCTGCTTTTTGACTCAGGAATCAGTCTGTATCAAGCTTATTTGAGTTTGATTCAATGGTGTGTAGAAGTAAAGCCCCTGAGACACAAGGTGATGCTCTTCATAAAACTGCTGATGCAACCTACCATTTCCAGGGAACAAAAAGTTCCTGTGTATTTCGAGCCTCTGTATGTGAGACCACTTCTTCCTCTCTGAGGCATCAGTAGTGACAAAGCCCAGCCAGTAAAGCAAGATCTAGCCACCAGATACTATCTATTTGTCAAAGAGGTACTCTGTGCAATGTGAACATCCCATTACCTACCCATAAACCTGTTAATAAAACCGGAGCATACTTAAAACTTAGAGAAACACTGTTATTTCATTTTCCTGTCCTTCAGTCGGAAATATGGCAGGATGGCTAAAAAGTATAATTTCCTGCTTTTTATTGGAAAGGTGCTGAAAGTTGAGGCTTGTGCTTTAGATATACTGGACAATATGTCCGTTAAGTTGCACTATCTGCATGTTTACATCATGCACACAGTATATCTGTGTTAATAATGGTTGTTTTTTACTTCAGATCTCAAGGCATAGCTGTTTCTGAGTAGCGAGATAAGATTTAAAATTATCAGCA